ATAGATAGATAGATAGATAGATAGATAGATAGATAGATAGATAGATATAGACATAGATATATGTAAGCAGGAAGAAAACAAAGGTGGCCTAATAATTTTTTCCATGACTGTATATATGCAGAAGGGAGTGCACTCCCGTGCTTAAATGTCAAATGATTCAGTATTGTCACTTTATGGTAATGGCATTGTTTCTAAGTTGAACCACAGGGTATCAAGGTTCTCTGATGTCAAATTAAATACTAACAGTTTACATTTGCTATTTTAAAAATTAGGGGCCCCACAGTTAGAACTCAGTGCAACAAAAGTCAGTACATCACTCCATACTGATATTCAGATCTTTTATTTTTTGAATACTACAGAAGTCTTGCTCTACCTTTTCTTTAAAATGCCCCACAGTTGCTCTATTGGATTCAAGTCAGGTAACACTCCGACAACTAGACTTTTTTTTTTCTGTCAAAACTGTTATGTGCTGTAGGTACCACAGGGTGCACCACAGATGAATTTGTTCATATGTGTGATTTAAACAGACTTATACTCTGAAAAGTAAATGTTCAGACTGCTCCTCCAATCACCTTAGGTAACCTGACTTGGACCACCCATCCGCAAAACAGAAACAAAACCACAGAGCCCCTTTTGTTCTTTCTTCACTGGCTCTTTCCTCATCAGCTCTTGTATCTTGCCCAGTCCTCTCTCGCCCACCAGCTCCAACCGGCAGAGACCCACCAAACTCTGTAATAGTTCAGTTAGAACAGCAGCCATGTCACATCCTACAATGGAGGTTCAGCTGTCCTCTGTGGGGCAAAGAGTTTAGTAAGTTTAATAAGTGGGTTGGATCAAAAGAACCACTGGCTTACAAAGACACACACAGAGGAAAGCATTTCCTTTCAAGGACTGTGGTAACATGATATTTTGATTCAGTCTGTTTTAATTTAATTGAAGGTGGTGCACCGATTTTCAATGAGTGATTTATGGAGATTATTCTATAAACCTGGTAACCTTACATCTGGTGGGCCAGTATTTGGTATATCCACAGGTATTTGTGGTGCCATCTATAAATGTCATCTTTAATGCCACAGTTGCACTCATGCAGCCACATATTGTAACATCTCCTCCACCAGGCTTTACTGTCACGACTATGCGTTCACTGTGGTAGTCCTGGCAAAGTTCATGCCAAACATTCTGAACCACATATAAGCAAAATTTACCTTGGTCTTATCTGAGCAAATAATGTACTCCCAATATTCATTAAGCTTTTTTTTGTGTGTATTCAAAAAAAAAAAGAAAGAAAGTATCATCTTGCAATTTTGTGAAAGAGAAAGCAAGGTTTTTTTTAAATTTATTTATTTATTTATTTCATTTTTATAGGATCCTGCCCATAGAGGTTCACATTATGCATTGTCATTCACACTGTCTGAGCTGTCACAGAAAGTCTGATTTCCATTAATACCCTCTGTTTCAAGTCTGAAGCGCTTTTCCATATGTTTTTCAGAGCTCAATTGTGGAAGTATCACACTGGTAGTGATATCATTTTAGGATGACCACTTCGGCTCTGATAAGTGGTACAGTGGCTTGTCCTATACCCGTGCTGCAACTGTGTTTTGACTGATTATTAGGTCATTGATCTCCCACAGTTAGAGTTTTCAGTTCCTGTGGCAATTCTTTTTCATGTACAGCTACGATGTCACTGAGCAGATTGGCACAGCCCATTGGTCCAAAACTGAGACAGTTCTGGTGTTACCAGCTAGTTTTCTAACCACATTCATGCAGTTAGATTAATTACAAATCACAAGTGCGCTCAATTTTGTTTCAGTAACTACAGGTTCTCCAACGTATGTGTTAGTGATTACAAGTGTGTTCACTATTGTTGCACTGAGGTCGATTTTTGGGTCTGTGTTTTGGATTGTTCATAAGAGGTAATATTCTACTTTTCAATTTAGAAACAATGCAATTATTGAAAGGTGATACAATTTTGAATTATTTGATATTTAAGTGATATCAAACAGAGGTGTGCTCATTTCTGTTCAATACTGTAAGTTGATGAGGAGTTCAACTGAAAGTATCACAGTGGAAATGATGTCCTGCTTCTCATGGAAAGGTGGTTCACAGATTCTATAGGGTTTGCTGCATTTTTTATTGCATGTGCAATACTGCACAATCCAGTTGAACCCAGAAGTTTACAAACATTGTATAAAAACAAACCAAAACTTTTTTTCTTACTATCTGACATTAGATGTGACTGAACTTTTCCTGTTTTAGGTCAGTTAGGATTACCAAAATTATTTCTATTTGCTAAACACCAGAATAATAATAGAACATTTTTTAGAGAATTTTTTATGACTTTCAATCAGAAGTTTACATATATTTCCTTAGTATTTGGTAGCATTGCCTTTAAACTCAATGACTTGGGTCAAACGTTTTGGGTTTCCTTCCACAAGCTTCTCACAATAGTTTGATGAATTCTGGCCCATTCCTCCTGACAGAACTGGTGAAACTGAGTCAGGTTTGTTGGCTGCCTTGCTCCACACACCTTTCCAGCTCTGCCCACAAATTGTCTACAGGATTGCGATTAGGGCTTTGTGATGGCCACTCCAAAACATTGACTTTCTTGTCCTGATGCCACTTTGTAACTAATCTGGCTGTATGCTTAGGGTCATTGTCGATTTGGAAGACCCTTTGTGTCCAAGCTTTAAGTTCCTGGCTGATGTCTTGAGATGTTGCTTCAATATTTCCACATAATGTTCTTTCCTCATGATGCCATCTATGTTGTGAAGTGCACCAGTCCCTCCTGCAGCAAAACACCCCCACAACATGATGCTGCCACCCCCGTACTTCACAGTTGGGATGGTGTTCTCAGGCTTGCAAGCTTCCCCCTTTTTCTTCCAAATGTAACAATGGTCATTATGGCCAAACAGTATAATTTTAGTTTTATCAGACCACAGGACATGTCTCCAAAAATGAAGGTCTTCGTCCCTGTGTGCATTTAAAAACTGTAGTCTGTCTTTTTATGCTGCTTTTGGAGTAATGTCTTCTTCTCTGAGTAGCCTTTCAGCCCATGTTGGTACAGGACTGGTTTCACTGTGGATAATGACACTCTCTTACCAGCTGCAGCAGCATCTTCACAAGATCTTTAGCTTTTCTTCTGCGGTTGATGCACACATTTCTCACAAAAACACTTCATCTCTGGGACACCGAACCCATCTCCTTCCTGAGCGCTATGATGGCTGGACATTCCCATGGTGTTTGTACTTATGTATAACTGTTTGAACAGATGAATGTGGAACCTTCAGGCATCTGGAAATTGTACCCAAGGATGAACCAGACTTGTGGAGGTCCACAATTCTCTTTCTGATATCTTGTCTGATTTGTTTAGATTGTCCCATGTTGTCACAAAAGGAAGCATTGTGTTTGAGGTGTGCCTTAAAATACATCCACAGGTGTGCCTCCAATTAACTCAAATGTTGTCAATTAACCTATCAAAGCTTCCAAAGACATGACATCATCATCTGGGTTTTCCCAAATAGTTTCAAGGCATAGTAATCTTAGTGTCTGCAAACTTCTGACTTTGAAGAAAGTAATAGGACATTCTCTCTCTCATTATTCTGTCATTTAGCAAATAGAAATAATTTTGGTAATCCTAACTGACCTAAAACAGGAAAAGTTTAGTCTGACTTAATGTCAGACAGTGATTTTAAAAAAGAGAGAGGTTTTGTCTTTTTATGCAGTGTATGTAAACTTCTGGTTTCAACTGTATTTGCAAAATGTGGCACCAATGACCACATTGTGAAATAGTATCATCAAACAAAACTCATGAGCTTCTTACAGCTCTGTCGAACTACTGTTATTAATTTAAATTCCATGTACACATTCAAGTGGCTCCCCAGTACTTACCTAGAGGTTACTGCAGCAGTTTCTTTATTTTACATAGATAATCTGGGTATCTTTTTACCATTTACACAATATTTCAAACCTGTACTGTTAGAGAGCTACAGCATGGTATTAGAATTTCTACTTTATGTTCAAAAACTGTCTCCTGTCATGGTCTCCTGCAAATGGTTCAGTCAAATGTCCATGTAGGAACTTCCATTAATAGCTGTCTGACTTCTTTAGCCTAAAGCCCTGCAGCATAGTCCTTTATCTTCAAATGCTATTGGGGTGTACAGTGTCTACAATTTCTAGGCATCCACACCAGTGATGTTCATGACACAAATACACAAACACAACCATACAAACAATAACACACATGCCACTCAAAACAACAAAGTCCAGAGCAGGGGCACTATAGACAAAGATTATTATTTTTAACATACACCCCATCCCCACCTCCCTCTCTGTGATGTAGTCAGGCTCTCCTTTGCATTGCTCTAACCCATAACTCTCCTGTCTGGTTTATTCCATGCCTGGCAGACGGCCCAGAAATTAGCCCAGAACAGGACGAAGGTGCAGTACTACATATCTGTTTTGCCTACTCACTGCCAAGCACGCTTTTTCCTCTGCTTGGCTATATGTCTTTATCTGTGTCTGTCTGTGAATCATTGTTCTGTCATGTGTCTCCTCTTCAGTGTTTGGTCATTCTGATGAATTGTCAGCCTTTCCTGAATCCAGCAGCTAGCTTTGTTGGAGACAGTGGTCATTGTTGTAGTCCCTTCCCTGTTTTTTTCTCCATTGCCCTTGCCATTTTTTTCATTGCATATCAGCCATTTTGTTACCTTCCTAATTTGGAATACTATGCTTTTTGCCACACTGGAAAACTAATTGTCATCTGAGGAATTCAGTTTGCTGGATGCAGGAAACAGCCATAATCTTTCTGACACTTTCTTACTGCATTTGTGGTTGTAATCAATGTGCTTCTTATCTCTGGAGCTGATTTTAAATCTGTAGTGATGCTATATGGCACATAATAAACCTATCCCTCTCATCTGCCAACCAAGCCAGAGTTAGATGACAAAGTGCAATATCAAATGTCTGTGCTACTTGTACAGACAGAGGTCTGATATGTGAAAATAAGAATCTATAGCTGTGTTACCAGTTCTATGGTAGATTATAGATACACAGCAGTGCTTTACACTGTCCCAAAGAACTGCTGGTGATGTAACGATATCTGTTGACCAAACTACATGAGGAAACAAAGTGAAAAGTCAGAGGTTCATCAAAGTTAGTATGATTTGGTGTCAGGACTGCAGACTTGCAACCTCCCTTACTGTAGGTCAAATCACAATAGCAACTTTACCAACAACCTCCTGGGGGTAAACATAGACTCCACTTTTCGGTGGGACTTTTGAGGGGATACATGAGCTACGTAATATGCAATGTAGCCATTGCTCCATCTTTGGACTAAGATAATCATACATAAATTAAACTGATCTTAGCAGTGCCCTTTTCTTGTGTAGACGTTCACTAAGGTGACTAAAGAGGTGACACATGTCCTTGTCTTCTTGATGTTAAAATTTTATACATTTGTGGTCCCAGGTATGAATTAAGATTTAGCTGTACACATCTAATTCAGGTGCCAGAATTATTTATTTGAGGACACAAACTATTAATTTATGTGCAGAAATGTTACCGTGTCACAAAGACTTTGTAATTTTCCTTGTAAATAAAACTAGTGCCTGTTGGGAAAAACAAATGCTAAAGAACAAGGATCACATCATTAATGAGATGTACATGATTGTTTATTAACTGAGAATATAAGTGTGATGTTGATGAGAAGTAAGGTAAGCAGCGGCTTCATTGAGTATAATTACCATTTCCCTTGGTTAGCAAAACCAGAGTAAAGTGTCCTAAGAACAGAGAGGAGACTGATCTGCGCAGATCTTGAGAGTTGGAGCAAATGCAAAGTTGATAAACTTGTGATGACCAAAGACCCATGGATTTACAAGGGTTCTAGAAACCTTCAGGTAGACACCATCAAAACTGCTTCAGTGCAGACAGAGTGGTCAGAAAATAAATGTAGAGAATATGACAACAGTCTAAGGTGAAAGAGGAACAGGTGTCAACAACCAACTTGACCCTTGTTCCTTGCAGTCAAATTCTCCTGTATTTGAGTACGAGAGGTCTGCTAAGATTTGAATAAATTTCAAAGAGTTGAAATAGCTTACCTTGAAATTGAAATGGAGTGTTCGACTGGGTGATGGTTCCTCGGTGACCCCACTGGCATTTGGCCTAATCTCTAGGGACACCTGGGTATGGTTTTTGCTGATGGTAGATTCAGGTCCGGTGGGCTGAGGTGCAAGAGGTCCATGGTGGAAACAATTGAAAAAATGTAAGTAATTTTTTTAACTTTAGATTTGACTATAAGGACAGCCTACGGCTTAGTGGGGAATGTGGTATTCTGTGGATCTACTCTCAGCAAATGAGGATAAACAAGTGAGCAGGGCTTGTAGGAATTTATAGACTTCTGAAAGAAGGGGAGTGTTTGAGGTGTAGTCCAGCTCCTGAACTTCACCTAAAAAATTATCCTTGTTTAAAGAACTTTGAACATGACTTATGAGTCTTAGCATTCTCTAAAAAATGTACCATGTGTTTCATGGCAAATGGACTTTGGTTATTAAGTATTTGAAAAAGGTCAGTTTTTGACATTAGATAAAGCTAACACGTACGAGGTGTGTCAGAAAAGTATCAGGACTGGTGTCACAAAAGATATATTTCAAATTCAAACTACAAACTACAAGTTTTCCTTTTCAAAGCAATCCCCCTGGAGTCTAACACACTTTCTCAGCCTTCTCTGCCACGCCACCATGCACTCCTGAAAGGATTCTTCCAGGATTCTCTGCAGCTCCATCATCACAGCCATCTTGATGTTGTCCACGTCTTCAAAACGGGTCCCCTTGATGACCCCCTTGAGCTTGGGGAAGAGGAAAACATCACACGGAGCCAGGTGGGGTGAGAAGGGAGGCTGCTGCAGCACGGTGATGTTCTTCTCAGCCAGGAACTGTTGGATGCTCAGGGCATTGTGAGCAGGTTGTCATGGTGAAGCAGCTACGACTTGTCCTGCCACAACTCTTGCCTCTTCTTGGCACTGATTGAAGCAAATGCTGCAGGATCTCTTTGTAGACATGCTGGTTGATCATCTGAAGGGGAAAACTCCTAGTTTGTAGTTTGGATTTGAAATATATATTTTGTGACACCAGTCCAGGAACTTTTCTGACACAACTCGTACAATGCATCCAGGAGTCAGAATTTGTTTAGAATTTAAGACTACCTAACATCACACTACCCTGAGACTCCACTTAAAATCCTTTTTATTCAACATAGATGCAGCATTCGCATCCTGTGCCCGGTGAATGAGGTGCATCATGGACATGCTTACTTGTGTGCTGAAATACATCAAGTGCATTAAATCATATTTGTATAGCATACGTATTTAGTGTCTAACCTTTTCACTCAAAACAACGAGGCGGCAAGTTCCATACGACATGGAGTGTGGAGTAATAATATTACAAAATCTGATTCCAAAAAAGTTGGGACATTGTGTACAACGTAAATGAAAGATTATGATATTTTGCTCATCTTTTTCTGACATATATTGAGTTGAAAACAGTACAAAGACATATTTTATGTTTTATCTCATCAACTTTATTGATCTTTGTACATATATGCTTATTCTGAATTATGATGCAAGTAACACCTTTCAAAAAAGTTGGAACAAGGCAACAAAAGACAGAGAGAGTTGAGGAATGCTCAAAAAACAGGTCATGATTGGGTGCAAAGGAGCATCCTGAAAGGCTCAGTCAGCCACAAGCAAGGATGGGGCAAGGTTCACCAATTTGTTAACAACTGTGTGGGCAAATAGTCCAACAGTTTAAGAACAAAGTTTGTCAGTGGGAAATTGCAAAAAATTTAGTGGGTTCACTGTCTACACTTCATAACAATCATCAAAAGATTCAGTTAATCTGGGGAAATCTCTGCATGTAAGGGGCAAGGTCAAAAACCAATACTGAATACCGATGACCTTTGATCCCTTAGGCAACACTGCTTTAAAAACAGACATCATTCTGTAATGGATATTGCTACGTGGGTTCAGGAACACTGTCAGTTCACACAGTTCGTCGCTGCATCTACAAGTGCAACTTTAAGACTTTACTATACAAATAAAAAGCCATACGTCAACAACATCCAGAAACGTCATTGACTTCTCTGGGCCAGATCTGAGATGGAATAACGCAAGTGGAAAAGGGAGTTGTGTCCACATTTCAGATTGCTTTTGGAAGTCATAGACGCCGTGTTCTCCGGGCAAAAGAGGAACAGAACTATCCAGATTGCTATTGGCGCCAAATTTAAAAACCAGGATCTGTGATGGTCAGGGGGTGTGTTGGTGCCCATGGTATGGGCAACTTGCATATCTGTGAAGGCACCATTAATGATGAAAGGTACATTCAAATTTTGGAGCTACATATGCTGCCATCCAGACAACATTTTTTTCAGGGATGTGCCTGCTTGTTTCAGCAAGACTATGCGGAGTCACATACTGCTTGTGTTACAACAGCATGGCTCCATAGTAAAAGATGATGGCTACTAGACCGGACTACCTGCAGTCCAGACCTGACTCCCTTTGAAAATGTGTTGCACATTGTGAAGCGCAAAATATGACAAAAGACTGTTGACCAACTGAAGTCCTATATCAAGAATGGAAAAGAATTCCGCTTTCAAAATTTCAACAATTAGTGTCCTCAGTTCCCAATTGCTTACTGAGTGTTGTTAAAAGAGAAGGGGACGCACCAAGGTGGTAACCAACTTTTTTTGAACATGTTGCAGCCATCATCTTAAGAATGAGGGTGTATTTAAAAAAAAAGTTTATCAGCTTAAACATTACATATATCTTGTCTTTGTACTGTATTCAATCAAATATAGACCGAAGAGGAATTGCAAATCATTGTCCTCTGTTCTTATTTACATTTTACATAGCGTTCCATAGCGTTGGAATCTGGGTTTGGAACCAGGAAAATGTAGACTGAGATCCTACTGGTAGATGCTGGAGTGGGTGTGGTTCTTTTCAAATATATATAAACAGCAGAATTTCAAGGTGAACAGTGTGACAGCAAACTGCCAGGAGCAACAGTAATCTGTAATAACCAAAAGAGTATGTGCTGCAGTGAGGAGCCTTGTCCCCACAAAATTACATTTCTACACAACTAAACTATGTTTGTATTGTATACTATACTTTTATTTTCTACATTTGCTTGTAACGTATAACAAATACATTTGTAATTAACATGTCATTGCAGTGTAATGCATCGCTTTCCAGCTTTTACCGTGTTTCAGGGAACCAGTCATTTGTTATATGTGGTGGGACTTGTCACACCTGGTAAACCAGAAAGTGGAGGAGAAACTTCAAACCCATTTTTCAAATATTTAAACCCAAAGAAAGACAGTTTCCGAAACCTAACAATACAGTAACTAACGATGAAAATAAACAATGAGTAAGTCTGCTGGGCATGTTGCAAACTGTTTTTTGTGGTCAGAAACAAAAGATACAACAGGTAAAAAGCACCTGATTTAGCTTTTTTATACCATTGTTCCTGATACTAAGAATGTGAATAATAAGAAAAAGGAAACAGATAATGGTTAGATGCTGCTGTATGCTTTCAGTAATATGGAAGGTTTGTCCATTTTCCTGACATCAAGAAAGTTTGTTTTTAGAGATCTTTTGGTTGACATGAGTGAAGTTTATCGTTTACATACTCACAGGAATAAATATTTTCATATTATATTGGAAGAAAGGGCATCATGTGGCACAATATCCTACTGTGAAACAGATGAATCATCCTTTTTACTATTGATAAATTTAAAATCAACCATAAAGTAAAACATGACTCACTCTGTCTTTTATTATAAAGAATACAGGTTCTAACTACTTTCATTTCTGCGTTAAGCCCCCACAGATTTCATGCATTGCCTGTGGTTTGCCTTTGTTTGTTATACAAAACAGTTTTAGAATACTCTTATCATTGTTAAATATTTTTAATGACAAAAAGAGGTCAAGCCAAATGTAAACCTTGTTGGATGACACGTATGTGATGGTCCGTGAGACTTACAGCAAATTGATTTACTTTTCATCATTGCAGATCTTTTACCAAAACAAACTGTTTAAATTCCTTATTATTTGTTGTTTTCTGCGAGAATACGTTAGAGGAGTATATCAATATTTTGGGAAATGCACTTATGTCACTTTCTTGTTCGTAAAGTGTTAGAAGAGAGAACTCAAAAGTTTTATTTTCACTGTAACAAAAGAAGAGGGGATGTTCACTGGAGCTCACGCTACGACATTTGTATACTGCATTGAAATGAAGGCATTCAGAAAACAGTTGAAAAACTTATTAACTTATTAATTAATGGGCCTAAAACCAAAAAACAAACAAAAAACTAGTAGCATTTGGGTTAATTAATTTCTTTATTTAGCAGCTATTATGTATATGATATATAATGTGTTTTTTTGCTTTATCTTGTGTACTCTGTTTTATTGAGACATTTATGTCTGTATGAATGTTGTATGTTTAATATTGCTTTGTGAATGTGGTTGTTTATATGTGTAGGCCTCTGAGGGTGAGCCTCAGCCCATGACAGAGGTGGATCTGTTCATCTCTACCCAGAGAATCAAAGTGCTCAACGCTGACTCCCAGGTACGTACTTTAATAGGAGTTCCAGAACAGTCAGTGGTTGCAACTTGTCTTAATTAAAGTTCTGATATCTAGGGGCTGCTTTCAGTTAGCAATTGGAGGGCACAGTGTCCTCCTGTCAACAAGCAAGAGATCTATAAGGCCTTCAGAAAAAAGGTTGCGAATGCCTATGGGTCTGGCATAGTATTTAAAAAGAAGGGTGTTTAAAGATCTCCAAATTATTTGACATAAGTCATTCTACTTTAAGGAAAATATTCTACAAGGTGCTCACAAATGCTGCGAGTTTGTCCAAGGTTGCCTGCCCCTGCAAATTCAGTTAAAGAGCAGGACTGGTTGATGCAAAATTGAGTCTCCAAGAATCCCAAAACTTCATCATAGCAGGTCTATTAAAGGGCACGCTGAAGCACTTTTTGAAATTGAGTTGCTGCCTCAGTCACTGATTAAACTATGACCTCTGCATCATATCAAAGTAAACACAAACTTTATTGTCAATATCTCTACATGTACAGTACAAACAGAGAAATTGAAATGCAGTTCCTTATAGTCCCACAGTCTACAAAAACAAAACAAAAATGTATATGCAGTGGTTAACAAATTTAAATGACCACGACCCACTGTGAGGTTTATGCCACAGCTGTCCTAGATTAACAGCATTGGTAATTGCCAACATCATTTTTTATGTTTCTGTAATGGTTAATAACCTAGTATGTAGAAGCTCTTTAACCATAATGATATTTTTAATTCTACAATATAATTATTATTGTCATCTATGAATTTTTAAATTTACTGTTTTACAAAAAAAGCAAAAAAAAAAATAGTATAGCACATTGTTATTTCTTGATTAAGATGTCAAAATATAGTTATGTACTCACATTGCTGAACAGATAAATTGCTTTAGTAGTTGAATGTTAAGCTTTATTAATTTCTGACTTCCAGAGAAGCCCAGTGGGCCGGCTCAGATTTGTGTATAAAAAAGGTGAATTCAGTTCGAAATTCCTCATTCCTGTTCAAAATGGTAACACATTGAAAGTTCACTGAAAATGAAAGAGTCAGTATTAAAGAACTTCATGCTGCTGGATGGTCTCTGAGACAAATAGGGGAAGACATGAAGTGTTCTCACAGTGTGGCCAAATATGCTTTGGAGTCAACTGCTGAGACTGGTACTTACAAAATACTCCAAGGAAGAGGCAGGAAACCAAAGTTAGCTGAAGCAAATGTCAGACACCTCAAGATATTAAGGACTAGAGGCAGAAGGAAGACCGCTGCTGATGTTCAGGCATAGATGAATACTTCTGGATCGGAGTCTGAGAAAGTTTCCAGAATGGCCTTAAGCAGACAACTGATGAAACAATGCTTAGAGGGAAGAAGAGCTGCTGAGAAGCCATTTTAAGGCCTACAAACATCCAGAAATGCCTCAGATTTGCCAGAGAGTACAAACACTGGACTGTTGATGACAGAAGAGTCCAAGTTTGAACTCTTTGGTCAGCATCGTTGTGTTTATATCTGCAGAAAAGCTGGACAGCATTTTAATGCCAGATGCATTGCACCCACAGTGAAACACAGTGGAGATTCGGCAGTATCATAAACAAGAATGTCTACCACAGCATCTTAGTGCATCATGGAATCCATTCTGGACTGAATCTGATTGGTCATGGGTTCATGTAGCAACAAGACAATGAGCCCAAGCAAACTTTAAAGCTGTGCAAAAAAAAAAAAAAAGAATCTGGAGTTCTGGAACTGATGGACTGGCCAAGTCAAAGTCCAGATTTGAATCTCATTGAACAAATTTGGGATGTAGTACATTCAAAGATCCGTCCATCCATTCATTATCTATACATCACTTAATCCTCACTAGAGTTGGGGGGGGGGGGGGGGGGGGGGGGGGGGGGCAGGGACACCCTGGACAGGTCATCAATCTGTCACAGAGCTACACTTAGAGACAAACAACCAAGCACACTCACATTCACACATACGGATGATCTACAATTACCAGTTAATCTTAGCATGTATTTGGAGTGTGGGAGGAAGCTGGAGAACCCCGCGACCCTAGTGAGGATTAAGTGGTTTATAGAGAATGGATGGATAGATGGATTTGAAATGGGCAGCACATGCCAGAAAGTCCTTAACCATATTGCATTTGAAGGAATTTTGCAGACTGAATGGTCAAAAGTTTCAGTGAGCTCCTGACAGATATCAGTGGACCATTATGCAAAACACCTGCAAGGAATCATTTCTGCTGAAGTGGGCAGTAGTAACTCCTGAAAACACTTACTTTTTCCAAAAAACAATATTATGTTAGTGATATTTTTACATAAAAAATCGAATTTTCCTCATGGTTTTTGATTTAGACATACCACTAGGTTAAGTTTTGCATATACCACTTTAAGCTATAGACAACTTTAAAAAGAATCAAATGTTGGCTTTTCCAAATATCTAAAAAAGGCAGCAACTTCCATGAGATATACCTATTATTTCACATGAATGTTGGTGATGTGTTTATTAAGTCTTCAGACTTTAAAACATATTGGTATAAATGGTTTATAGTTTGCTACTGACCTTATTTCACTTCCACTGCTCCCATGGTTCATAGTTTTTCATTTTTTGTTTTCGATGTGTAGCGCTAGTGCCTAAGGTACCCAGTGTTAATGCAGAAAGTGTGCATCATGCACACACAAGCTTGTATGTGTAGTCAAAAGCAACTATTATAGTGTTGTGTGTTTTAAGTCAGATACAGAGTTTGTCTTTCTGTTTCTAATTTGTAAAAAGGCCCAAATCATGCAAACGCACTGTTATTTAATAAGAGGTCAGTAAATTGTGAAAAAGATTTGTGTTAGTGCTCTGTTAAGATGTAGTTAAGGACAGGAATACTTTAAATATGAACCTATAGGTGTTCGTGTTTGGGGTAAGTTAAATTTGCTATGTATGGTTATCAGTTAGATTTCTAACCTCAGATTTATATAAGGGCTGTCAATGGTTCTTTGTCCTCAAGGAAACCATGATGGACCACCCTTTGCAGACCATCTCCTACATTGCTGACATAGGTAACATTGTGGTTCTGATGGCCCGGCGCAGGATGCCTCGACCTGACTCTCAGGAGAATGTGGAGGCTTCAGACCCAGGTCAAGACAGCAAGCGCCAGTACAAGATGATATGCCATGTGTTTGAATCTGAGGATGTGAGTCCAACAGTAAATAACACTTTAGTCTGAAATGACCACAAGCTTATATAAAAAAAAATATTACAATTATGTCAGACATTCTAAGTCTGCAATGTCCTATAGGCCCAGTTGATTGCCCAATCCATCGGGCAGGCCTTCAGTGTGGCTTACCAGGAATTTTTACGAGCCAATGGCATTAACCCTGAGGACCTAAGCCAGAAGGAATACAGTGACCTGCTGAACACTCAGGACATGTACAACGATGACCTCATCCACTTCTCCAAGTCTGAGAACTGCAAAGATGTAAGTAGGCTGTGTGTTATATAAGTATCTTTGAACTTGGACCTTTAAAGTAATTTTACTTTAATTAAAAGCTATACTATGAATTCAGTGATCTTTTTCTGTACCACTACTACAGTTGTTGCTGCTAAGAACTACCTGGTTTCAAAGATTTGCTGTCAGTCACATTCATATGAATGCGTATTGGTACACAATGCAGTGTCCACGACAAGTAGAGTAGTTCATAATATGTACATTTATTTAGTTTTTACATAAAAACTTATGAAGCTGTATTAAGTAAAGTAAAAGTTCACTTAAAAATGTTTTTGTGCTGTTTTTCTTGCGGGTTACCTGCTGGTCCCGCAGGTGTTTATAGAGAAAGCTAAAGGGGAGATTCTGGGTGTGGTTATTGTGGAGAGTGGATGGGGCTCCATCCTACCCACTGTCATCATTGCCAACATGATGCATGCTGGCCCCGCTGAGAGGTCTGGCAGACTGAACATAGGAGACCAGATCATGTCAATCAATGGAACCAGTCTGGTGGGACTGCCGCTGTCCACCTGCCAGAGTATCATAAAGGTATATGCATGACAGTATGTCTAATAAACACATTAATTATACAAGTGCACAGGCAGCAAAGGGGCAAGGTTCTTGCCAACCACTGCACATACCTTGAGTTAATTGATTTAACAAAATAAAAAATGTTAAAGTATTTTTTTTTTAATGGAAGATATAATGTTTTAGCACTAAGACTAAAAGACAAGCATTTGCAGGCGGTGGATGCGTATGGTGGAAAAAGTTATTTTAAAAAAAAGAAGAAAAACAATT